CGTACCTGTCCATATACACTACAGAAGGGGATACAATACATTTAAATTAAAAAAAAAAAATTTTTTTTTGCTTGGAAGATAATACTTCAGTGCTTTCATGTTCTGAAACATTTTCATGACACGGTGCTAGTGAAGTTAATAGCTGTTGTATTATAGCTGGATTTTGTTTGGTTTTTCAACAAGCATCATTACGCTGTCACTTTCACACATTTGCCTTGTAGAAGTTGCCTTGTAGAAGTTATACTGAAATTTGAAGTGTACCTAAGTGAGAATTAAGAAGAAAAATAAATGCCAGAAAATAGACTTCTGATGTTTATGGAATTACCCTAAGGACTTGCATGAATGAGATAACTTTCCATTGAGTGGAGAAAAAAAAAAAAAAAAAAAAGACACAGAAGCATTAGAAAACCTCTCCATTTTCACAAAATGGGTTCCATGCTAGTTTGTAAGTGTTTTGGCCCTGTGATTATTTCAATTTAAAAAAAAAATACATGACAAACACTTACTGGTTTGGTGAATGAGATCCTGAGCGCTTCAAATACTCACATCTGTATTTGTATTGATAATTGCTTTGGAGCTGTGAAGAACTGCAGTACCTTACCGTGTCTGCAAACAAGATAATGGAGAACACAGAATGAAATAGGATCTAATCACAGTTCATTCTAACACAAATATAATGTCCTTCTCTCTCTGGATAGTAAACATTATCTTCACACCAAGTACAGGAAAACAGTCAGGCTCAATGTTTCCAACACAAAGTTGAATGGATAGTGATATTAAAAATACTAGCAACTCCATGTCTTTTCCCTTCCCTTCCTCCCTGGAGCGGGAATTTGGAGGAGCATTTACTCCTCCATTAGAAGGACAATATAAAGCTATTTGTCTCTAAGATTCTGGTAGCCTAGAGGTGCTGGAAATGAGAGTGCATACTTCCAACACCACTTTTCTAGAATCTTCCGACTCATTATTTTCGTATCATTTTGACCTTATACTTTCATTTGAGTACATTTAACCATGACATAAATGAGGGTCAGCTTACCATTAAAATGCCAGATAGTTTGAGCTCAGAGAGGAAAAATTCTGGAGGACTCTAGAAGTCCAGAGAGCAATTTTGTCCCTCTCCTACAGACAATCAGTCAAGCAAAAGGAGCACGCGTGGCTCATTAACACCATTTCTCAGAGAAACAGCAAGTTTCTACAGACTTGTTTGCGCACAGTCAGTCTTCAGCAAGACTTCACAAACAAGACTTAAGATTCACAGAGGAACAAACTAAGCAAGCAAAATCGTACTGTCTTCACTGTGTTGGTTGAAATTGCACTACTACGAGTACCAACCTTTTCATGCACAGAAATATCTTGACAGAAGATTCTCAGCTGACCTGGATCTCTTCTAACCTCTCCAGCACCTTGAGAAGAGTTCAGGAAAATTTAGTGGACAATAGAAGAAGATTTTGTTAGTTATAGAGATAAACTTCTGTAAACGCACATCATGCCTCTTACACAAATAATTTACAATAACAAATAAGAACTATTCTCAAGGCAGGGTGTTAAAGAACATTTGAAGAAAATAAAGAAACTTGTTAAAGAACAATTATATAAAGGTATTCAAATGATGAATATTCATTTCAGTCACCAGCACAAATAGGACAGCTCCTGTTTTCAAAAAGGCCGCAGGGTAAAACTCTGGGATATATAGAAAAGCACGTGCAAAAGAATACATTTACTTTTTAAGTCCTAAGTTACAAGGCTAATACTTAGTCTGTATAAAAGAGGGAGGAGGGCAGCCTGACAGCACTTTCTGCTGTAAAGTATCCAGATAATCTCCCTTTACTGCAGGTAGCATTTGAAGATCTGTTTGCATCCATTTCTGTTAGAGAGAAAAACATGTTTAAAAGCATCAGAAAAAGGCAGACAACATCCTTCACTGCTTCTCTAGTACACAGCAGTTCAATCCACTTTTTTCCTCTCATAGCACACTGAGTTTTAATAAATTATCCAAATAGATAAAGATTCAAGCTCTGACTCTACAAACCAGAGAGAAACTTTTTCTTGACAGGAAAACAGAATATTCAAGCTCTTACTTCTTCAGTTTCTCTCTAGAGGAATTGGTTTTAACAAAGCATTTACCCATGTGGTATTTTTTAATGAGTTACTCAAAGCTTTCTGTGGAGGAGAAGTAGAACACAAATGCAATTTGTCTCAGTAACTCACATCAGCCTACTACAAACTGAAGTTTGGTACGCTTTGATATTTGTTCAGCCTTATCATTGCCTTACGGATGAAAATAAAGTAAGCTAAACTTACCTAAAACTTAACTCCAATTTTGAATGCAAACTTATAACACAATAGAAAGCACAGCAATGACAAGAGTAGCAAAGGTCTTAAACTACAGCGAGAGAGGGCTCATCCAAGCACCGCAGCTAGAGACACAGAAACAAAAGAATCTGCTTACCATCAGAAAACCACATAGGTACATAGGGATCTCCAGCAAGATACCTTCACCTCTACTTTCAACCCTTAAATGAGGGCTGGGAAGGGGTGGATCCTGGCTCCAGCCCTTCTCGTCACTCAGGTGTATTGCGTACACCTGAGCTCTGCTGGGTTGGCCCTGCCTTCCAGCCAGGTGCTCAATCACTGCTTCAGGCCATGAATTAGCATTTCCTCTACACTATTTAATTCCTGTTTTAAACAAAAATGTGGCATAAGAAGTATTTAATGCCTGAGTTCTTGTTGTATTCAGCTTAACTCTCCTTGAAATTAAAGTCTTTATGCCTTTAATCCATAGTACTGCAAATGGAAAATAAGTGTAGTTTTAGTAAGCGAGATGCATACCTGAAATTTTTTTTAGTTATTGCTTTATCTAATAATATAACCTTGCAATACTGTGTTTGCACTCATATGGGTTTTGTGGATTTCTCTTCCACTTCGTTGATGTGTTTAATCAACCTCAATAAATGTCCTAACGCTTCTTATCTTCTTCCTACCATAAACATTATAGAACTCAAAGCTGGTAGTTCAGTTTTTTACACTCTACAGCCCAATTATCTGAAATAGAACTCCCACGAGGAAGGAGTAAAAGATTTTCCTTTCTAGTTCTTGAACTACATTTATCCAGCTTAATCTCTTGATTCTTTGTATTTGTAGATTGTTTTCTGAAGTGTATGTTTTGTTTCTCCCCGTGCCCACGGTCTAGAGCAACACAACTATGTTTTGCAAATTTAATGGTCAGATTTGTTTCCCACACGCTTTAGGTTTTGCTACATACACGTGACAACTGAAGTATATTGAATGATGTAGGCAGGACTAATGAGGCAATTGGAATTAAAGCCCACACTACATCTCTAACTCAACTATATCAAACTTCATTTTGCACTGGAAAAGCATACAGAGCTACATGTACTCTTTAGAAATCTTCACGTCAGTAAGTTTTGGGAAGGGCAAGGCAGCTGTGATATCTATCACTTTTAATGTTCTGAAGTTCTCCAAGAGAATGGCACCATCTTCTCAATGGAAAAGGTGCCTGAATTCCAGCGGATTTGTGTTAGGATGACAGCGTATGAAAGATACGAGGATAGTCATTCTTGCTTATTTTCAGCCTTTCGTATGTATTTGGATCATTTCAGAAGAACCCTCCAGATTCATGCTACTGATGTGGGGAAACACACTGAATGAGAAAGTTGAGTTAAAAAGTGAGCAATGTACATGTTACTGAGAAGAAGGGAAAAACTGCTCAGAAAAATCATTATTGCTTTTTAAATACTATCTCTGCCAACTCAGACCACCCCTGGCATTACAACATTAAGAATTACTCTTAACATCCACTCATTTCTCAGCTTGTCTCAGTTTCTGAGTGGCCACTCCCAAGCAATTAAATGCAACAGCCGCGTGAATTATGCTGCAAGTGATGGGGAAAAAAAAACGAAACAAAACGAAAAAAAGGCTTGGAAATCTGAGTCTGAATTTCCAATACTCCTGATGCCCTCCACAAAATTCATTTATGCAAATAAATAGAACACAAACAGTAAACAGCATTAACAGGAACTCATCCTTCCGCTTTTATTCTTGTGAAAGCCTGTTCTTTTACTTCAAGTTCATGCTGGTATTTGTTTTTCTCACCACAACCCAGTATTCAAAACCACACAAAAAAGAGCACATTTCCTTTCAAAACAGGCTAGTGGGATAGTAAAACAGCTTTGCTTTGGTTATTTTTCCAATGAAAATGACAAAACAAATTAAAGATCTTAAATATTATACACTTGACAGCAGAGACACTGTAGTTCAGCCAGGTTATCTGATAGCTGCAGAAACCTTCACAAAGCAGAAGAATAAATCATTTGCCTCAGGTCACGTCCAAACAGCTAACCCTCTTTGTAAGCATCCCTGACTAAAGGCATCACCACCGAGGGAGTTTCTTCCAGCAGCCAACAACTTTGTCAACAGCTTCTCACACTGGCTGCTTTTTAGCTCTATAATTAACTGGATGATAAATATAGTTTAAACTAACACAGACAGGTTTCATGTGCAGAGCATTTAATAACGGTGCCAACTCACAATTAAAAAAAAAAAGCTTTTGATTTCTATATTTTTAGTGTGCAATTTCATGTATTGTCTGCCGTCATAAATGCAGTTGTTTCCTTTAAGCCAAAAACAACAGTGTTTACTCTTTGCTGCTTATGTTAGATTTTCTTCCTTTATAGTTTGTTGTAATTTCCAAACCTGAAACAAAAAGAAACCTCTTCCGGCTCTTAGAAGCAGAGGGCTGGCTTAGGGAATTAGAGACATCAGAAAGAAAGCAACCTTCAGATTCACCTTTTCTCTGACTTTCATGTTTGGACAGCACAGCCGAACCTCTAAGAGATGCACTGCTTCCTTCAAATCTTGCCTGAGAAACGAGTCCCACAGCTCCCTGCAAAGTAATTGGTCTAATTATGTGGTAGGAAGGAGCTTCTTTAAATTCCTTAGAAATTAAGACGTGTCATCCGCTTAACATCTTAGCATCTGTTACTGCCTCTTGCACATTTCTCCACTGCATCAGCCTGAAGGACGCTTTCCTGGACATTTCAGAGAAAAACAATCAAAATCCTTGAAACAGAGAAGAAATTGTCCCCTTCTGCAGTGGGATGAAGCATGTAAGGCATTTTGTCCCCTCCTTATTTCTCAGTTTGGTGCACGTTTGTCTGGGTGAGTACAATGATCCCTTTAAATAAGAATATAGCAGGGTACAGCATAACCTTAAATCCTGTGGTAATCCTTACTGATGTGGTAATGTTGTCCTGAAATATTTTCCCTGCCAACTGCTGACCCCTGTGCAATTGTTGCCCTCTGTGCTTACATAGATTTGTTTCTGATGGGCTGTTTAGAAGCTAATGGCATCAGTAGGCACACCACTAACCTATTCTTTGTTTTTTGTTTTCTTAAATTCTGCTGTTGTCTGGCAGGAAGTAAGTAACAATTTAATTCTGGCTAATTGCTCATGCAGTAGGCATAACGTTAGGGCAGAATGTGTTCAGAGCACTGGGAGAGGTGCTGAGGCACTGGGAGCTTCAGATCTGCGTGTGCAGCTCAGTGAGACGCGTGTGGGCATTGCCAGGAGGGTTAATGTTTTGCCCAGAGCTGACTGAGACTTCTTAGAGAGGTCCTGCTGCTTGCTTTGGTTCCCTCGATGTTTTTTTACATGCTCTTCTTCTTCGTTGGCTGCAGTGTGAACACAGAGTAGCAGGTAGAAGCAAGTGTATTGAAAGTGCCCGTGCAGATAGAACCCTGAAAGTGCACTGCAGCAATGGATATGTTGTGCCCTCGTAGTATTCCCAACGGAGCTCGTGTTTACTGAGAGTCGGGTAACAGCTACGTAACTGCCAGCAATGATGTGTTTTTCTGTGCCTTCTGTTTTAATTGCAGTTCAGGCAAATTATGCCCCCTATTTCTTCGATAATGGAGCCAGGAGCACAAATGGGAACATGGCACTCCTCAGCCTTTCCGAGGACACACCAGTTGGTCAGTATGCAGACACGTATGGTTAAAGTATGGAACTGAAGCCGGTTGGTCTTTTGCTTGGCAACACGCATTTTGTCATAGGTGGTGCTAAACACTGTGGGTTTTCTTCTCAAGTTTTTGATTTACAGCAGCACATTGGAATTGCAGCTGTAATTTAAAGTGTGACATTTTGCTCCCCTTTCCTCGGTCCGTGAGTCTGCTCATAGCATCAGAGTATGGACCTTTGGGATCTTCTCATTAGTGCTGTAAATGTTGATGAGAAGAAAGCACAAAATTATCGCTGATAACTTTGTCAGCCCTGTTAAGAACAAGCTGTACATTGCAAAGTGAGAGGTGTGGTTTTCTGTGAGGAGTTACCACGTTCCTCATGTACAGCACAAATGGTAGAGCACTTTTCTGCTTAGAGTAAGAATTGCTTGGTAACAACAACAGTTTCTTTTGAAACAAGTTCAGTTTCATTTTACTGAAAATTCAAAATTTTACTGAAAATTTTACTGATGCATTCTCCGACTCTGAACATTTTATGAATGGGTTTATACAGTTCTTTTTAAACTGAAATTGCATTTTAAAAAACAGAATAGAACAAATGGATGATTAATTATCAGAATTTCCCATGGGAAAAGGATAACTTCCTATCATTTAAAAATGTTACATATATTAAATCGCTGTGATGAAGACCTCCAGGCATAACACTGAGGTTTTCTTTAGGCTTTGCTCATTTGTCTGTAAAGAAAAGCACTCGGCTAATGTCAATGGATTACCAAAGCACCCATTTACTCTTGTGCACAGAGGAGGGAGATGGCTGCACCCCGTCCCCCCCCCCCCCCTTGACAGAGCTTAGACAGTGTTGGAGACAGGGCTGATGGCAGACTGAGGGCACAGGCTTCCTAGCCATGGCCGGACACTTAGTGCCTGGGGCTTGCTCAAAAATCTCAGTTTCTGGCCCGGAGATCTAGATGCCAGCCAAGATCTACACTGGGCGTGTTTGAAGTGAGGAGGAGATGTCTGGGAGGCAGCAGCTTCTGCTCTTGTTCTTCAACCAGAGAAGCAGAGGGGGAGAAAGCAGAGCAGAACATAGAAGTGACGCACCCAGCAGATGAACGGGCAATGAGCTTGCTTATGATGCACCAGGGCTTTGCTGTAAGCTCAGCCAGACTTAGGTGGAAGCCTCAGCTGAGGGCCTACAGCAGTGTAGCAGCACATGCAGACCAAGAAGCTTAGATTTGTGTTGTGCCTTTGCCCAGAGATGCCTGGAAACCACACTAACCCTCAGCAATCAGAACAACTCTGCTGGTCGCTGGAGCAAGGCTGACCAGTGGGATTGCTTCCCTGCTCATGTAGATAGTGCCTGTAATGTGAGGTGCTTACTGGAACAAAGTGACACCCAACCCATTCCATGTGAGTGATGGCTGCCAGCCCCCACTGCTCTGCAGGCAGCGCAGCTCCCTCAGTGCGACTGGACTCTGTCCCTGGCATGCTGCTGGCCTGCAGGCCCTTAAGGAGCACCAGCTGCTCCCTGCTGAGCATTCAGCCACCTCCATGGAGATGGAAGCTGAGGGTGGCACAGTCAGAGGTGTTCCCCCTGGCAGGGCTTCAGTCTGTTCCAGAGGCAGAATTCCCTGTAGCAGTGGTGCTCCAACACAGGGACAGATGCATCTGGCTGGAGCTGCAGGCAGGCAAAGGAAAGTGTGTGTGCCCAGACAGCCGTATGGCCATGAGGAGTCAAGGTTGTGTCAGCTGCCCCATCTACAGTGCTGCTATTGCTCATGACTGATGGCTTTGGCCAAATTGTGTCTACGTTAGCTGGTCTGTATTTGCTATTAGCTTTATAAATGACTTTTTAAAAGTCAAGAGAGAAGCAACTCCCAGCACAGCACATAGTGGGAAGGCCAGAGCCAGGCCACAGCTCAGTGCGAGGACCTCGCACTGCAGGGGAACCTGGAAGAGAGAGGATTCTGGTTTCCTGTGTCCGTGTGCTGTTCTGAACATCCATATGCAGCCATCTTAGAGTTTTGATCAGGATGATCAGTGACGAAACAGGGGCACTGAGGCTTGTGTATGGCTGATTCTGTGTAGCTTCACTCAGGCTTAGTGCTGCAGAAATGCAGAGGCGGGTTGGCATTAAGTCTTCTGTGCACTCACATAAAAGTGAGACTGTAGGGAGGATGCTTTATTTGGCTGGTCCCCAGACACAGCCAGCATCTGATGGGATCAACACCACAAGCAGCTGCTTTAATCTACCTCCAGAAATGCTTTGGCTCTGCTGAGGTTATGAGCTGTGTGTTAGTTACAGTCCCCAGCATGTGCAGGTGAGGGACATGTAGTATTTCAGAGCACTAAAATGAGGTGATGGTTTGTCCATGCTGCTGCAGGAAGAAGTGCTGTAGGTACAAGAATACTCCAAGTTCAACAAAAGCACATTATCATGCTCATGTCATCTTTTACCAGGCTTTCTTTTCCCTTGTGGTATTTTATCTGCTCATAGGTAGTTGTGGACTGTCAGTTATATACCTTATGATGTCAGTTACCACAAAGAAAACAATTGGTATTTTGTATGTGACAGCTTAGAATTGCCCGTGTAACTCCAGATTCTTTTGAGAGCTGCAGATCATGAGAGTCTTTGTTGTCAGATGGGCCAGAACAGCAGCCCCTTCCAGTGGCTGATGTAAGAACCATGGCAAAAGGAATGAGCTAAAGTGGCAGCTGCAGTTTGAGCAGTCACACAGTGGGGCAAGTAGGGATGTTTGGTGCTGAGCTTGTGGCAAAGAGTTGCCTGTGTACATACAAGATGTACGTGACCCTAATTAAGGTCTTACAGCGTGTGTGAGATGCTATTTCAGGTTGTTTGCTTCATCTTACCACATTAATCCTGTAAGCCCTTGTAGCAGAACGTTGAGAAGAGACGCAAAACAAGGGATCGAAGCACCCTCATAGGGGCCCGCTTCTGAAAATCCAGGCATTCTCAGTGCTTTGGAGATTTCTGCATGCCTCTCGTCTGCTTTTCTTCTTCCCTTTTTTCCCCGTTTGCTTTTCTTCTTCCCTTTTTTCCCCATGCTCCCACATATGTGCACCCTCCCACTGAAAGCAGTTTTCAGCTGCACTTCTTTGTGCTCACAGCCCCAACTCCTCACTGCCTGCCTTTGGCTGGCCGCTTCAGATCTTTCCATCCTTCAAGCTCCCCCCATGTCTCCTGCAGCTCCTTTGCTGTTTTCTGGCATGGCCAGCTCCCCTCCCAGGTCAGCCAGGCTGCAGGTGTGAAGCAGCAGCAACAGTAATGGTTGGTGAAGAGCAGGTTTGCCATTGTGGTTTATGGTCCATGTCCTCCAGCAGCTCCTCTTGCCCTGGAGTGAGCTTGCAATCCATAGCCACCTGCGCGCTTGGTGCTGATCGCTCGTTGCCTTTCATGGTGAGGCAGGTAGAGAGCGGGTGAAGGAGCCCAGGTGGGATGGCCTGTCCATGCGTGTCCCTCTCAGTTTGTGTTCTGTACCTCTTTAAGCTGGGTATCTCAGATAAAGCTCCTCAACCACAGCAGGCTGCTATGAGGTAGAAGAAATCTACAGAAATGTGTTTTATGTGTCAGGCTCAGTTATTGATAGTCGTGAAGTGCTTCCAGTTATTTGGATGAAGATATTAATGCACAGAAGAATAACAGACATCCAAGCTTAATAAAAAATGATACGAATAAACGCTCACCATCTTATGAAAGTGTGGGTGTCATAACTCCCCCAGAAATCATCACTTCTGATAAGCAAAGCCAGTTTACTGTGAAAACTGGCACTTAGTTCTCAGATGTGTAAAAATAGAAATGACAATCTTTCTTTCCCCAGCGTGTGGAGGAAATGTATGATGAATTGATGAATTTAGAGAATTTATTCATTGGTATGCGCACAAGTGGATGTGCTAAGCGGAGAGTTTAATGAGAGAGAAGTAATGATGGGAGATAAGCAGGAAGGAAGACTTTTGCTTGTAACTCTGACAGCAAAGAAGTCTGCAAATGTCCCTGTGTCTCCAAAGCCAGGGCCTTGCCTGGTGGAAGCACTGCCTTCAGCCCAGGCTGGTTTGCGTGAGGGCCTTTTGCTGCTGCTGCCAGCAATGTCTCCCAGTCTTACAGCAGCATCGCTTCAGACGCACCTGGGTTGATAGTCAGGAATTTGTTATCTGCGTAGACACCGTGGTGCAAACAGTACAGCTGCACAGGAAAGGCCCCTAACTGAGGGAAAATGGCACTGGTGAATTCAGTTTAACCATCAGGGTAAAAGCTGACAGTCGGAACCACTGAACTGCTTACGTGCCTGTACTTTGCAGTAGGTTCAATTCGCAGAAGCTTTGCCTCATGCAGGATGGCTAAGTTCCTAGGAAGCAGGCTGGTGAAATATTCACTGCTGATGTAACCACAGAGAAGTGCTCAGTGGCCGCTTTTTCAGGTACCCACGTTTATACTCTGAATGGAACTGATCCGGAAGGAGATCCTGTGACGTACGGCCTGACCTACGAGGCTGGATCCAGGCGCTACTTTTCTGTTGATGGGAACCTTGGAAATGTGACGCTGATTGAGGAACTTGACAGAGAGGTAGTGTGCAGTGAGATGCCCTCACTCTGCTTTCGTGAAATTTCCTTGACTTTCAGTTAATCAATGTCTTTGAGGGACAGTGCCAACTTGTTTGTACCTGAGATGTGTCATTTCTAACTTTGAGATGCTATAATTCACCCATCGGGTTGTTTTCCAGTTGACTGGAACCACTGCCACTACTATCACATTTTTTAGCAGCTGAGGGCTTTCTTTTCAGCTTTTGCCAGAACAGTTTATTTTTTATTCCTATCTGCCCCCACCTGCAAAGTATCGAGAACAGTCCTTTAACAGTCAGACACGACTGAATTTCTTCAGAACTCTCTGTCATAGGGGGAGGTAGAAATTTACATAAGCGCTGTCTGAGGACACGTTTCTGATTATGTCATGCTCCTTTAACCCTTAACCACATGGGTTCAAGATGTTCCCTGCAATAATGGACTGAAGGCAACTGTATTCTGGGAGCACAGACATCACCCATTGTGTAGCCCATGCAGTAAAGACAACACAATACTCAGTAAACCTTTCAAAATACTGCACACTAAGGCAGAGTAATTTTGAACTAATAATGGAAGTATTTCTCCAAAAAGATAACTGGTGTTCCACTAGCGCTTCATAATGCAATACGAATTCCCAGAGCAGCTATCTCCCGTCCGCATCTCCAGACAGCCCGTGGAGCACTTCAGCTGAAGGCTCTGAGGGGTCTCCTTAGCCTCTGCTCTGGTTTTCTTGTATCAGTTGCTGTTTTCTTGTACCTGCTGAGATGTGCAGTTCTTTCTCCAATTAAAGCAAAACCATCTAACAAATATACGTTGCTGTTTTACAGAAAGAAGATGAGATTGAAGTTATTGTCAGTATTTCAGATGGCCTGAGTACAGTAAGTACTAATTCTACTCTAACTTTTCAAACTGCTCACCCTGCAGTTGTGCCTCCTTTCATTATATTACCTTTCAGGGACTATCTCATTTGATCAGAAAACATAATCTCATTAGAGCCTTACCTCCTGCTTCAACAGCCAGCAGTCTTCCAGTAACTCAGGTCTCGCTCCAGCCCTGTGAGGGTAACTGCAGCGTCGTGTGAGCCAAAAGCTTGATTTAGTAGGCTATGAAATAACAGCAGCTACCCCTAAAGTTTCACTGTCAGCTCAGTGGGATGCGTAACTAAGAAAGAGCTGAAGTTTTTGTTTTTGTTTTTTTTGCAAGAAGTGTAACAGGACTGGAACCAGAATTGGACATGCAAAAGCTGACTGGCCTCCACCCCCGCAGTGTTTCTCTGGTGTGACATTAAGAAGATTTGCTGAGGCCAAGGTGGTTGTCTTGTCTGCTGCTGAACACAGCTTTGATCATGTATAATCATTAAGGGCTTATATGAGGCATGAGGCACAAGCACCCAGTCCTAGTTCTACAAATTTCCTTGGCATTTTCAGTTTAAGATAAATGTTCTTGTGGGCAGGATATTAGACTGCCAGTAAGAGGACCTGGGCTTCGTCTCTGGAGGTGTCACAAAAATGTGACCCTCTAACTACCCCCAAAACCAGACAACTCTAGAGATCTTCCTCATCTCAAACAAGGGGAGTGAGATCATCCTATGTTTGGGGTGCAACTACATCCTACAGAGACAATGGCTCTCACCATTTCTGTAAACAGCTACTAAAGGGATCGCATCCACGTGCCCACTCTGGAGAAATCTGGGAAGTTCTGCTGATCAAATATATTTTGGTTCCATATTTTTTAAAAAGGCAGATTGCTCAGGATAGTCTGTTAAATATTAAAAGGGTGTATTCATACATCCAAATTCTGCGTGCTGTTGACCCGGTTGGATGTTATTGAATAAGATATTAATTAATGCAGTTGGCTGTCAGGTGCCAACTTTTACACAGTCTTTGATGAATTCCCATAAAATGCATCATGGTAGTTTGAATGCCACAAAGAAGAAAAATGACTTTTGTAAGTTAGCTCCAATCTATAACCTATGAAGTGCTTTAAGACTCCTTTTCCACTTTAGAGATACCTGGGTGTTCTCCACGCGGCTAGTTATTCTGGCTTTTGTGATTTTCTGATTTTTTTTTTTTTCTTTTATATGCTTAGTTTTGTTAGTGCAAAGACATTGTATTACAATACATCTTTTCATTACCTTTGGCCACATGTTAGTAGGAAAATCAACAGGTTCACGTAAATCAGCTCCAGTCATAATGTGTTCTTCACATTCCAATCCAGGTTTCAGAGAAAGTGAGGATCCTTGTAACAGATGCTAATGATGAGAGCCCAGAGTTCATCAATACACCTTACATAGTCCAAGTCCCAGAGGTTGGTGAAGTTTCTTTGCATACTGTATTTCAGTAGAATGTAAAGAGGAGCGAGCTGGTGTGTTTCCAGTAAAGTCACAAGATGTGGAGGACGAACTCGCAGTCTTATGGGGTTTGGCCAAAGTCAGTTCAGACTTAAGGCACGCTACTTAGTGGGTAAGTTCCACAATGTGATTTTAGAATTGGTTTCAGTGGAAATAGGGTACTCTTTTAGCAGTTTTCCCTCCTGATTATTCCAGAAAGCTTTGCTTTGCTCCAGTTTCCTCCATTTTTAATCTCTTGCCTGTTTGATTCCCTCATTCATTTATATTCTTTCTACGAACACTCCTTCTGTCTCCTTACATGCTCCATTTTCACTTCTTGTAGTTCTGCTGGTTTGCCACTTCTGTCTCACTGTAGTATCTGTTTTTGGTCACAGAACTCTCCTTCTGGCAGCAGTATCTTTAAGATTGAGGCAGTTGACAGAGACACTGGTTCTGGAGGAAGTATCACCTACTTCTTGCAGGTAAAGTATTTTCTGTACTTTTAAGACTCACCTCTCATTTAAGATTCAGAGGATTGAGCTGCTACCAGTGTCTATAGGGCCAATTCTGTAGCATGCACAAGAAAATAAACTTTGGCAAACGGATACTGTCTGCCATGAAGCAGTCAAGCACAGCCTGGCAGGCAGGCGTTGGAGCTGGGGTCTCCACTGTCACTCTGGCACATCACAGCACAGCTCCTGTTGGCCCCTTCTTTGGCTGGTTGGGAGAGCAAGTCTAATTTGTAACCCTGTGTGCAGGTGGGATATCAAAAGCACGATATAGCTTCCTTCAGAAGGAAAAGTGCATGGAAACCCTGTCTGTACTTGGATGCAGCAGGCTGGTGCAAAATTGAAACCTGTATCGCAGTATAGAGTGCTACCTGTTCTTCTGATGAAGCCAGTGCCCACTGCAACCAGCCCTCCTGGTGTTGCCCTCTGGGGAAGAACAGAAAGCTTTCATATTTGAAGCTGGACAGACGTTTGTGTGCCAAAAGGGCAACTTTTTACACAGTGCCCTTCAAATCCACTATTTCTGTAAGCATTTTCCTCCAGATGAACGGTAGTTTCCCTTATTCAAAAGGCAGTGGAATAAAAAAAAAAAAACACAAACCAATTTGTTGCAGTATGTACCTTAGATACAGTATGGAAGCAAGTTGGAATGTATTTACACAGCATTAAAGGTAATCTGGTTAAGAGCTCGGGCACACTGAGAAAGAACACCTTGTTGAAATTTAGTTTTGATTTCACCAATTATGAGCCAATTAAAATGCAATATGGGCAGGATTCAGTTTTGCACGGGGCTTTTTCCAGAAAGCCAGGAGACTCTGAAGCCAGCGACAGCTATTTTGAGCTTCCAGGTCTAGCTAATATATTTGTGTAACAGAAAGGTTACTAAATAAGTTTATTTATTAAAAATATGCTGCTGCATCCTTTCACACAATTCTTGAGTTGCTCAGAAAGAGCACTCTTGTAAAGTCTGGTGTGGGCAGGTAATGATGTCACCAAAAGGACAAAGACTGTGACAGTGACCGTAGATACAGAAAACCAAAGGTGTGCAGTTAGGGACTCTCGCCGAAAGGGGAGGGAGACATTTTTAGGCCCTTTTGAAAGTCAGATGTCTTTTATGTGTCAATTCACTATGGAAAAGATTTTGAAAACCCACATTGAAGTAACTGATTTATTCTGAATAACGAAAGGCTCATGGCTGGTTCATGAATTTTTCATAAACACACAGAGGTGAAATTCATCAGATACAGTTTGGGTGAATGATGTATCATTATTCTAGTCTTTTCCTTTAGCAGATGAAATAAAAGATTAATCCCTACGGCAATCTTGTTTCCATACCTGTAATCTTCTGCCTTTTCTCCTTTCATTTTTCTCTAGAACATCCATGCTAATAAGTTTACAATAGACCGTCACAGCGGCGTCCTGCGCATCAAATCGGGGATCACCCTGGACTACGAGAAGTCAAGAACACATTTTGTTGTCGTGGTAGCCAAGGTACAAAGCTTTCTTCTGCAAGTGGAGGAGGTGAAGGATTGTATTTGAGTAAGGCAGCTTAGGTCAAACAGAAGCATGATTTAAAAGTTTGTTGAGATAGCAGAGTCACTCCCTCTGCCACGTCTGAAGGAATGGAGGGTACCATGGAGAGGTGAGGCGGAAAGCTGGCCAGTGCCTGCTGCTGAGCAACATCTGGAGGGGGCCAGAGGCGAATTCCTCACACTGAGCTCAGGCTCCAGTGCCAGGACAGTGAGCTCCTCTGCAGCAAGTCACCCTTACACGTTGAGATTCACTCAGAAGCAAACACTGGTGTATGCAGCCCCAGCTTTGGGACGCATCAGTCCCTTTGGACTCCCCGGTGCTGCTCGGTACACAGCCATGTTACAACAGGGGCAGAGCTCTGGAAGAGTCTGGATATTTCTTTTTTCCATGTCTCCACTGTGTTGTGGCAGGATCTCACACCAATCCCACAAATGCTGCTGCAATTCTTTCCTCCCCACTGTCACTCTCAGTAGTGCAGTGCCTGTGGCATGGCTGAGGATTCATAACAGGCATTAAAAATTCAGACTCTGAAGTAAAGTCTCCCAGGATCCTGCAGAGAGCTGTCAGGCTGGTGGCCGCATGTGTGGAAGGAGAATAATTTCACTGCTACTTACAGTGGCTTTACGTTTCTTGTTTTGTGAAAAATGTATGGACTTTGTTATTTATTTATTTAGCCAGGATTCATTTGAAGAGAAATAACAGAACTTGGGTTAAATGCTGCTTTTGGGCAGTAAAGAGCAAATCTCTTCCAAAATCCAGAACTTTAAGAACAGGCACAGCAGGTGCCCAGAACAATTCACAACAGTATGGCCACTGACCTCCAGCCAGTGCTCTGAGAGTAAGGGTGTTAAAAGCTTCCAAAACCGTGAGGCATTTCTGTAGTTGGCATTGCTGTATCACCAGCACAGTGCCAATGGTGGTAAAGTCCCCAGAGATTGTTTATATACTGTGGCTGTTGCACAGCTCCTGGGTGTGTGCTGCCATGCTGTTACTTATGCCACGTAAAATCCCCTGGGAGGCTTTGGTCAACTCACGTGTTTAATTTTCCCCTGAAAATGCCCTATTTTACTACAGTTGCCTTGGTTTCATGGCAGGGTTTTATGGCCTGATAATTTTTTCCGTCTGTTTCTAGCTTTCTCCTATTCCAAAAAACAAGAAGAGCCAACAGGATAAAAAAGCCCTGAATTGTCTGTTCTCTGTGTTGTTGATAAGCAATAACGCGTGACTGCATATATGAGCACAACTACTTTAACAGAAGAACTTGCTTCTGAGATTTCGTAAGGTGTCTGCCCACTCAGAGAGGAAATGGAACAGATGGAAAAGAGAAGGGAATAGGGCAGGAGAGCTGAGTGTGCGCTGAGAGACATTAGAGATTCCTGGAACCGTGTTTGTGAATGCATGCCTGATACGGTGCGCATGATGCCGTAAATGGATTTGCCTGCATACTTCAGCAGAGGGATCTGACAGTGACTTCTTTTCCAAGATGGCAGTGGGAAGCTGAGGGGAGACAACAAAGTGTTCTCAGCCACAACAACTGTCACCATCAACGTGGAGGATGTTCAGGACACTCCTCCCATGTTCATTGGGACTCCCTACTATGGATACGTCTATGAGGATACGCTTGCAGTAAGTGCTGGTTTTGACCTGTGGAAGTGCAGTCTTTCACGTTTCAGCCAAAATAAACATGTGCTTTGGGCTGCAGCACTATCCTCTCAATATCTCATTTGGGCCAAGGTGAACCTGACACGAGTAGCGCAGGGTACTTTCTGCTCAGCTAGGCAGGAGGAAGGGCCCAGGAAATCCTCCCAGGTCCAAATGCACCAGAATACTAAGAAAGGAGGGGCATACTGAGGAGAACCACGGACGAGTTGTCCTAAAACTGTGTTTGTTGCTATGCCTATTGCTGAGGATACACCTCCTTATATATCATGGACAGCCTAAGGAATACAGAGATCTCCTGGCTGTGCCACCATCTCAGAAAATCCTACTGTCAGATCTGCTCAAAAGAGAGCGTAGAGTTTATCCAGTCAGTGTATCATGGCACTTTAGCCATACAGTAGTCTTGATGCTGGTGATACTTCCAGACACATATCATTCCCAAAGCTGCAAATTCATCAGTTTTCTTTCTACCTAAGCAGAGGCACAGTACTGAATAGGGACCAACTTTCACCCTGATACATGTTTTAATTAAAATTTTCTTCATACATAGGATAAGAAATGGTATCTACTTATGAAATACCTAACCTTAGACTATTGTCAGTGTGTTAGCACCCCATTTGCCTCGTTCTCCTCCTCAGGGGCAAATGTGTGACAGTACACAGCAGCTCAGTTCATAGGCTGTTACATTTCTGCTGGGCAGAGTAACACTTGCGTTCTTTGCAGATGTTCGGAATGTATGGAACATAGACTTATTCTGAGAGTTACACATAGGTCTTGAAATAACTATCAGGTGCACACAAATTAGTATTTACCATGGAACCAGCAACTACCACATACCATCTTGGTAGCAAACTGAAGCGATCAGGTCTCAGATTTGTTACTCCAAATCTGAAGAGAGGGACAAGAGGTTGGGCACTAGGCAAACAGGCACAGTCTCTTCGCAGAAACATTTTTCTCACTGGAAATCAATGAACCTCAGGGGGTTCCCCATGCATCATGAGCAAAAGTACCACCATTCCCTCTAAGCCTTACTGCAGAAGGACTCTGAAATTCAGTTTATTAATGCACCATTGTAATTTCATTGCTTTTTGATCTCAACACACAAACCATAATTCCCTATTTCACCCCAGGGCTCTGAGGTCCTCACTGTTGTTGCACTTGATGGAGACAGAGGAAAGCCAAACAGTATTCATTACTCCATCGTGAACGGTGAGTAGACTTGGCTTATACGAAATCTGAAGGGAAGTCAAATCTAGATGTGACATGAAATTAGAGAGAGAAGAGCCTACAGGTTAATAATGCTGTGACAAACTCACATGGAATAGCACCAAATATCTCAAACAACTCCAGGGCCATGCCTACCAAAAAGCAAGGTAAGATTCACTGAGTTTCAGTATCTGCTTCGCAGCACTGTGCTTGGAGTTGTTAGTGTAGTTGATTTGTTAAACATCAGTAGCCTGCTTGTCGCTTAAGAAAACATGAAGGGAGATGCATTCAGTGCCACTGAACATCTCTATAATTTGATCAAGGAAATGAGAAAACGCATTGAGAAACCCAGACATAGCAATAAGAGGACTGTTCTTATTAACATTTTCATTGGGGTTCATAAACTGCCAAATCTCTGGTTTCTTGGAAGAAATGATATTTACTAGTGAAAAGAATCTGTCAACCGTACTGTAAGAAAGTAGATATTATCAAAGCAGTAATGCGTTTCATTAGGTCTACTGAGGGTGTCTGTAGCCTGTCTTTCAATGGCATAAATACAAACCTTACCTGAATTGACAACTCATTAGCAGATAAAGTCAACTGCTTAGCTCCAAGCTAAATCTTTAGTTTCATTTGGTTCTTTCTTCCTTCAAAACTTCCTTCAAAACAGGACTTCCACAATAACTGGGCACCCAGACTCCCAGGACCCCACAGTTTCATGCAAAAAATGCAAAGTTCAGTTGCAGAGCTATTCAGGAAATTCTTCAGTGTGTTACATTGTTTAAAATGCAATGTCTAGAGTGGATGGAGAGGGTTGAAGTTCGGATTTTATCTTGATGTGGGATGGGATCATGCTTAATAAGTACCTTCTCCCCTGATGCAAGAGAATAGGTAGAATAGGGGTTGCAGAATAGGAAAACAGATGAAAAATGAGGAAAGGTAAAAAGAAAGGTGGAGAATGAGGAATGAGAACATAGAAGTGCTACAGAAAGAAGCTAAACAAGGGGAAAAACATTTGAAGGAAAATATGTGAAGGCAGATGAACCAGGGAAGCTGTCAAAGATACGTGTATGGTGTATGGGGCACACTAAAAAGAGCTTAGCCATTGGGTCAAGGGAGGTGATCCTCCCTCTCTACTCTGCCATGTCTGAAGTACCATGTCCAGCTCTGGTGTCCCCAGTTAAAGACAGAATACTCCTAGAGAGATTCCACACAGGGCCACAAAGATGAGGGACCTGGAACACATCCCATATAAGTGAAGGCTGAGAAAATTGGGACTCTTCTACCTGGAGAGAGAAGGCTGGGGGGATGGGGGGGAATCAGCAAATAGGAAATCATTTATGCTAAGATGTTTTTTTAATCTAGAGTGTGTAGGATAACTTTAGAAAGTACTCTAACCTTCTAAAAATGCAAAATGGAGGAACATGTGCATTGCTACGTACCCTGAGTTATCAGTTTCTCTCCCTAAAAATAGACAATGTGGTATTGTGAATTGAAACTACTATTGACTTCAGCTCCTTCTCAGTCAGGATGTGCTTTCCAGGTCAACGTATGTTAATAATTGACCCCCTAGATGTGTCAATCTGTTCAATGTTGTGTCTAATATACTTTAAAGAAGTTGCAGTTACTACAGGTATTAGCAAAATGGGACTCTATCAGATGGTTTAAAAATAAGCGTTGGAATCAAGTTAGAGAGAAATAAAAATGACTGGGCTTTCAGATGACCATCCTCTTTTCTAAAAGCCTCAAGTTCCTTCATTTTAAGGGTTTTTTCCTCACATCCTTTCAGTTGTAGGCTCTGCAACAAAGCAGAACCTGCGGAGAATCCTATGGGTGAGACTGGGGCACATAGGGTAGGATGGGTTCCCAGCTGCCGGCCGTTCCCTCTCTGAGCAGGGCAAATTCACCAAGTGGAAAAGAATCAAAGCCCTGTAACTGGTTTTCTGTTCGGAAAGATGGAAGTTACACTGCATGGACCAAAGTCAGCCTGCAGCCTCGTCCTGCCTGTGGAGCTGTCTCAACCTCTGTGAAAAGAGCCTAGGCTTTACCCTAGATTCTCCTAAGACCCCTTTCATGCTGGCACCTTGCAAGAAAATGAGTGTTGTTTAACAGATTGGGTGTTTAAAGCCAGAAGATGCTTCTCCCAAGATGCTGTTCACAGAAAGAGTGACTGTGCTTCTTTAGGATAAATTGTCAGACTTCTCACCTTAGCTGATATTAGCAAGAGCAATGTTCTTGTTGCTCTGAAGCTTAATTATGTATGCATTTGCTAATTAAAATGAGTAGTGGTTTTTGTTTCTGTTTTTGTTTTTTATCTAAACCAACATGTAAAGGCAGCAGCATAACAGAAAGGAATACCAAATGTGCAGGCCCGGTTGCTGAGGCTCAAAGGGAACCTTGCCAGCATGGGAGAGAGAAAAGCAAGGGCAGCTGCCTGTGGGGTCAGAGCTCTGCCTAGCTGCTCCTAGAAGAGGAAACTCTTGTTGGCCCTCATCTGTGCTCTTATCACACTACAAGCAGGCATAGAAATGCTTCACTTTTTAAAAATAGCCACTGATAGGAGTGGATACACATACAGACAAATATACTAACTGCACACTTCATTAAGAATATCACGCTGGTTCAAGAAACAGGAAGAACGGCACTTAACTAGACTATCTTGGTTTATTGCAGGAAGTGAAGGTTCTTTTGAAATCAGCAACACCACCGGAGCCATTTCTGTTATAAAAAGTCCAAATCAGCTCAAGAAAGAAGTGTATGAACTAAGAGTTCAGGTATGTACTGAGGGACCTGGCTGCACTCAATTTACCCTGCTACCGCCCCTTCCTGGAGGAGCCCTAGTGGGGAAATCTCCCTCTAGTTGTTGGTGTGGCTCCTTATCTCGGTGTGACCAGAGGCATTGCAATCCATACAGTGATGCATATGGGAGTTGAGAAATAATTTACAATCCCCCCCCCTAATATCTAGTCAAAGTAATGCTGTACCTTGGCTACTGCTATCAGTTCTAACTGCATCTACATCAAGATGATTATATTTCTTTCCATCCTCAGAAAAAGACAACAATCTTTTAGGGAAATCCATCACATTTTTAAGTTGCAGAGCTGTAATGCCAAATGAGTGAACAGCCTAATATTTTAAGGGGAAGACAGCAAGGGTGGTATTTTTCAGAGGGGTTCAGCAGACCAGCAACTTTGTTTCTAAGCCATTTCAGCATAAACATGCCCATTAGGGATGTGTTTTTTCTTCCAACAGTTTCTGTCCTGACATGAAAAACACCTTAAATTGAAGGAGGTGAATTTGTCTGCATGTTGCAATTGTTTAATTTAAACAGATTTTGTCTTTCAGTTAATAAAAACAGCAGCTAGATTTGCTATACAACCTATACCCAGCTTAAATGAAGTCTATCCAGATGGCAAAGCAGAATTGCAAATCAGAGAACAGAACTGTCATTTTGCTCTTTCAAATTTCACGCAGCCTGAATACCTCAAGTACATCTTACCTCTCAGAGATCCAAAGCTGCTGCCCTTCCAGAACTCTGCCAGTTAAAGACCTATGGTACTCAGCAAATGTCAAGTTCATCTTCCTTTTCCATTTCATAAATACTTTGGGCAAGCAATTATCTTGTCTGTATCAAGTTATCTGTCTTTAGAGGACTGTTTTTACCTAGGGTGAAATACGAAGCTCAAGAACAAAACAAGAATTTTTTCCATCAGAGCTGGTTGAGACTGAATTATTACCACACTTTCTAATCGTCGTGAATTCCACTGCAAAGTGGACTGAGATTTCTACAGCAACATAAGACTGTGAATGCTTGTACAAAACTGCTGTTAGGTTGATTTTTGCATGCAAAACAAGACCCAAACATGGAACTGAGGAAGGAGCCAGCTGCAGCTAAGAAGGGAATATTCCTTCATCTCTTTTCTCTCTCTTAACTTTGTCCAGGCATCAGAAGTCAGCCCAGAAGGGGATGTCTCAGCATATGCCTTTGCCATGGTGACTATAAGGGTGGTCGACCTCAACAACCATCCGCCGACATTTTATGGAGAAAGCGGTCCCCAGAACAGATTTGAACTGACCATGTACGAGCATCCCCCAGAGGGTGAAATCTTGAGAGGGCTGAAGATTACTGTCAATGATTCAGATCAGGTACGTGGAAACTGTGAGTTTTCCTGCCCTGTTTTCACAAAGATAGAAATGGACATCAGAGTGGCAAGTGTCAGGCCTTCAGTTTTTTTTTTAGAATTGAATTGTTTCACGTGCATTCCCAGAAAGCTTAGGGCAAGCAAAATACTTGCCAAGACCATTGCCACAGAGAATTTGGACTCTAAGGCATATTTAGTTTGTCATACATCATTTAGTCTGACCATTATGTCAGAGAGAAGAGCGCCGGTCCCAAATCTGCAGCCCACCTCTCGAGGACCTCTGAAATTGAATAGTCTTCATGCATTTCCTTTGTCTGTTGGTTATGTTCAGTTGCTGTCAGCATATAGTCTGGGAACATATTCCCTTTAGATAACTACTGAAGCCCCAATTGCTTTAGCAACTTTAAGTGCTTTAAGTTTCCATCCATACCTTTCATAAGCCCTCTGGAAACAATTCTGTCTGTGCCCTTACATTGTATTTATGGCAGCGTATTATCCTTCTAGAGTTTATGTTACAACCAGAGTCTGTAATTCATGCTTTGAAATATCATTCCCATTGGAGTCATATTTTTAGGTCATCTTAAAAATTATGCCAGCACCAAACTAACTGATCAAAGAAAAAAAAAGACAACTCCATCCATCTCAGCCCAATATCTAGCTGACCCCTGACACTCACAGATACTATTGTGATGGTTGCTATAGGGATCCCTAAGCTGAATACTGCAGGAAGGGCATCCACCTGAGTTAGTCTCAGAGTAGGCAGTGACAAGAGAGATTAATGCATCTGACAACTGTTTTGTCATTGGAAAGAGTGCTCTTATTCAACTGTTCTCAGTATTGTGCTGTTTTGACTGTATTGTACTCTATCAAACCCACCAGCTTCTTCCACCTCCCTCCAACTGCACTGCAGCAAGCAGATAAATGACTGCTTTCAAAGCAGCGCTGCGTCTATCTCACTATTGTCACTGAGGACGTTGCTGCAGAAGAGAAGAAACAAAACCTATCTCTTTTATTTGGAGATCAAATACATACGTATCACCTAGACCGACAAAATACTCAGGGCTGCATGTTAGACTATAAACTAAGCAGAAAATACAGCTAATAGTTCAAATTTCTCAAGAAGCTTCCTAGTACAACACAAGACATCACTCTGTAGGGATAGGATTTTGTAATGCTATCATGGGACAGAAAGCGCCATGATAATAAAAGAGTTGCTTACCTTCAGAAGGCGTCAGGTAGGTAGGGATTCCCAGTGGCAAACACTATCATCTCCATTGCCAACCCTTCAATGAGGTCTGGGAAGGGATGGATCCTGGTTCCAGACCCTCTGGCCACTCAACTGCATTGCATGCACCTGTGCTGGTCCTGCCTTCCCACAAGGTGTTCCATCACTGGTTCAGTCCCTGATTTAGTATTTCCACTACAGACTGATACTGTTTCAAGACACAGAAAGCAATGTTTTCCCCCCTGTAAAGACTTATGTCTCTAACAGCCACTGTTGTCTCTGGTGGTCCAGGTGAGAAGGAAGCCACAATCACGGCCTGCCTCAGGCCTACAGTTTGATGGAAATGCCATCTTGCAAGAACATCACACAGAAATTTCTCACCCCACTCTCTTCAGCCAGCAGACACCACTAAAGGCCTGGTGTCACCGTCCCTTCCATTGCTCCTCTGTCCTGCGGCTGTCTGCTTTGCTATGTGCAGCAGGGCTTATTCCACACAGATCTGGACTGGGCGGATAACACTGTCAAAAATCACTGAGCCTTTGAAGGGAGACAGCACTCTCCCCCACAGCACCGCGGGTTCAAGTGCAGAGGATTTCTTGTGGTCAGACATCCACCTCTCCCCACCGGCACCATTCCCTGCAGTCCGGCAGCTCTGGCTTTGCTTTGCGTGCCATAACACCTGGCAGAAGGAAGCCTGTTGTCTCCTGTGTAGCAGCAGGGGTTTCTGTAACCGGCCAACTCAGACCACTATACTTAGATCCAGGATCACTCTTGTTTCCTTGGCATCTACCATGGAATACTTTTTGTCTTGACATGGGGCAGGGCTGCAGCAGGAACTGCTTGTAACGACTCTCAGGAATAGAAAAGCAAAGTTATCCTGTTCAAAAGTTGCTATTAGAAATTCTTCATCTCAAGGTTGATTGTGGGGGCAGAAAGCAGCATCAGCTAGGCAGGGAATGCAGCTTGTTGCCCCAGTGTACTCATTTTACTACTGGAAAAAACAGTGACGTTAGAAACGTAGTTCAGTGGGCTCCCTTGTAAGGCAGAGATGTAGGAATCCCACTTCATTTTTTCTTCTCCATGTTGTAGCAGATTTTAAAGTTTGTCTGGCACTCTGGCATGCCATCGCCATCTCACACACCAGTGCTGCTAACCTAGGTATCACCACTTCTCTTCTCCTCTATTGTCTAGAAGGTTTATCTATACGCTGGGATTTGGGCTTTCCCTTCACCTGGAGCTGTCAGACATGTATCACATTTCATTCTGCTCCCAAGTGCACCAACTTCCAAAAGGCTCAGAGGCCACAACTCAGGGCCAGTTTAACCCAGTCGGTGCAAAATGTCAGGTCCGACTTCTGTTTGGAAATTGCACAATTTCACAGCTCCGTGTCATTCTGCGATGTGAGCTCTTAAACTACAGGTTGGATTTTTTGACAGGTCCATCGTCCCGGCTTGGGCGGGTCAGTCATCTCCCCTCGGCAGGGACCAGGAGAAGGCAGAACTTCCACGCCCATACACAAGCGGTGCTGTCCCTCTCTCCTGCACTATCTTGCAGCACTAGGCAGAAAGTCAAAAACTTCTTACCAAAAGATTGCTTCTCCTAGCCAGACCCACCGCAGGGTTTTTCCATTATGACTGGAAGAATAACTGAGCTTGTCAATCTATTTACAGAAAAGTTACATGTCTCGTGACCAGGGCTGAAGGGATTATATAGCTAAGCTTCTTTCCCTGGGTATGGAGAACAGAGGGCTCTCAGCAGTAAGACTGATTCTAATTTCATACAGCTTGAAGAAACAGAGCCAGCTTAAGCTGTAAGAAATGCATCATTCACCAAAAGCAATGCAGTATCTGCTTTTCTTCACAGGGAGCCAATGCTAAATTCAACCTCCGTCTTGTCGGACCCGGTGGCATTTTTCGAGTCGTTCCCCAGACGGTCCTGAATGAGGCTCAGGTTACAATAATAGTGGAAAATTCTGCTGCTATTGACTATGAAAAATTCAAGGTCTTAACCTTTAAGGTACTTGTGCTTTCTGGACCCCCTCTGCTCATGTGTCTGATATGTGTATGATGGCTGACAAATCCGAAGGGATTTATCTCCCCCGTCCACCCGGAGCTATCTGATGATTTGCCATTGACTTTATATTCCATAGAAAGGAAAATCATTTCTCCCTGTGTTTCATCAACTTCCGAAAGGCTTAATAGATCCATCTATGGGATAATTTACTCCAGACAGTACAAGCTGTTGAGTATTAAGTATCAGTGGAAATTGTGTATAGTCCAAGTCATTCCAGACTAAGCTCCAAGGATGTTATTTCTACTTCTACAGTGCTAGGTTTACAGGGTGAAATTCTAATTTCCCTGGAGCCAGAAATTCACCTGTGTAGTCAGAAGTAATTCAATTCATTATCATACTTTGAATACTGGCTGGCCGAAAACCCCATCTGACCAGAAGATAATTTCCCAAAACTGCTCACTGCCTTTGCCAAAGCGTATCTCCCCTGTGTGGCCCTTTGCAGACTGATCTGGGGCCTTCTCACCTATGTTCCAAGCCAGCCACACAAGAGCCAGCAATCATCCGAATGCTGGAAACTTTTGTTTTATTATTTTTACAGAAGAAATATCGAATGATTTTGCCAAAAACTCAGAGCCTTTGTCTAAATTCCAAATGAAGAAGGTGCAGTGGGATGATATGGTAATGATACATTTGAGCAAATGCTTTATAAAGACTTCATGGCCTTCTCCATTTCCTTGAGAAGTCAAAATTGCTTTCTATCTCGTTATAGTTGCTAACCTAGTCTAGTCATTCTACATAGACTTTAGGGTGAAACAGGCTCTTATTTCTATTTAATATGTATCCCACAGCAGCTTTGAGAAACTATTCTTTTTTTTTTTTTTAATCTTTTTTCCTATAAGCAACAATTCAGTTTCTCTGGTTTGTTATTGAACAGCAAAATGCCAGAGAGATATTAAAGCAGACTCAACAGGGAGGCACACCAAAGCACCACCCAAGGCAAAGGCCACCAGAGAAAATACATCTTCCGTTCAGAGATGGCTTTTAGATTTTCTCAGCCGTCAGGACTCCCTTCATTTTTGGCTCAGAGCACATCCCTCCTTGAGGAGAGCCCGATCCCACCATCCTGTGTCTGCAGGCACTCACATCTCCTGCACACTGGGACCAGACACAGCTGCAACTATCCTCGGTTGCCAAAATAAAAGTCTATTTTAAAGAATCTCCTGCCACTTTTAAAGTTATATCTGTCTACTTTTCTGGCACTTGTATTAATTGCTGCTATGCAGTCCTGTGAAGTAACAGTTCTAGCTTTTTTTTTTTTCTCTCTCTGCTTGTAGCACTGCATAATACATTGCAGATCAGAAATCTGACAAAAATCCCATCCCATGGGAAGTATTTGCTGGTGCACTGACAGAGCCAGACTGTGGCTGCTGAATGGAGAGGGAATGAAAATGAACTTAAACAGAAAGTCAAAGCACTAAGCTGTCAGAAGGCACATTGGGATGGGCCAGTTCTATCACCAAAGATGATTTCACTGCAGATGCTATAATTTAGTTACAGCACCACATGCATCATAAGCAGTAAGATTTTATCCGTGTGCTGACCTAGGAGGTGATTGCTCACATGCAGATTTGGTGATGCCTGACTCTACTTTTAAAAATTTATTTTGCCAAAACCCTTTGAATCATCCAAGAACATGAGTTTGCAGAGACATGGCAACAAGATCTCCTTTGAGAACATATGTGCCCTGAGGTAATTCAAGCAATCCTTCAGGTTGTAAGCCTTCAGGAATCCTGTAGCTATTTATTCCTAACCACTACACCTGTTTACACAGTAGTGACAGTTCCAAAAGATGATGCTGGTGGTCTTCTCCCCACCTACTTCAAACTCTTGCTCCAAGCCCTGCCACCTATGGGCAATGCAGCCTTCCTCCAACGCACAGGGAAGAGGAGCTCCCACAGCCCTCAGCTCAGGAGCTGCACAAAAGTGGGCAAGAGCTCCGTGGCAGTAACCCTTCTGTGCAATCAAAAGCTCAAAGCTTTCACTAGGATATAACATGTGCTTTTTAGTCATTTTCTGTTTCTTTTTCTGTAGCTTCTTGCAATAGAGGTGAACACACCAGAGAAATTCAGCTCAACAGCTGATGTAGCGATACGCCTGCTGGATACCAATGACAATGTCCCAAAGTTCTCCTCTGATTACTACATTGCCAGGATCCCCGAGAACTCTCCAGGGGGCTCAAATGTAGTTGCTGTAACTGTAAGTTTTACTCACCTGTAAATAAATGTTCTCTTTTCTAGCTATTTGCGCAGGCAGCTCGAAGGCCTTAAAAATCATAAAATCATGGAATTGTTTGAGTTGGAAGGGATCCTAAAAGGCCAGCTTGCCACATTGCTTCTGGATTCAGCTCCAGTTCCTTTCCAGAATCAACACAATAATAATAATTTTTTAAAATACTGATAAATATTTTTCAGATAGATATCAGTATTTTTAAACTGTTTTTCAGAACAAGTTTTATTTATTTTTGTTTGAATTAAAGGCCATCTGCTTTTAAGAGAAATCACATGATCACTGAGTACTAGGAAGGCTGCAGTCAAATCCGTGTCCAATGGAAATATTTGGTTATGGCTAAGTGGAATTGCATTTACTGGATTTTCTTGCTTAAGTACAAGTAAAAAGAAAACAAGATGGCTGTTTAGTGGGTATTAGTCTCCTCTTCCTGGGAAGAGTCTGGCTGCTCCATGCCTAATTAGACAGTCATTAAGGGAAGACTACGACACTAAAATGCTTAGAGCTGGGAAAGAAAGATTCCTGTAAGCATCTCCTCACAGAGGGAATAATATGCCTATAAATTTTCTTGTATCTCACATTTTCATAAAAGCAGTGTTATATGGGTGCTGTGCTGGAGTTGTGGCTGGAAGCCATTAGATGCAAGCTGTACCTCTTCAATGCAGCTGCTGGGAAACACATCCCATGTCCCAGAGCTCCTGGCTGCACGGGGATTGGCAGACAAAACAAGTCACCTTGACTCCATGCACCACTGTATTTGCAGCAAGAAAAGTAGGCAATTCCACAAGGTACATAACAACAACAAAAAAATTATGAAAAGTTTCCCAAAGAAGCAAAACTAACCATTCTGAGCCCAGGTGAAAAGGACAGCATAGCTGAAGATTCCATGTGAAGTTTGTTTTCAAGTGGCACCAACTCAGTGCTTGATCTGTATTCATAAATATATTTCACAAAGCAAGATTCGCTGGATAAGGAGAATCCTGCACGTGCAGAATGTTATACAAGAGTCCAGAACAAAGACATCATCTGATGTAGTATCTGCATTTTTAAAAGTGATTATTAAGTATAACTTGAAATAACTTGAAAGTTTTGTTATGCATTACTTTAAACTGAATCAATTAAATAAGCAGATTAAAAAAAAAAAAATCCTCTGGATAAAGTAAATTATTATGACCAGAGAATGTGCATTAATATTTAAATGATAATTGGGAAGGCTTGATAGCAGGCAATTTGTTTGTGTCATTGAGATCGACTTCGTTGCTCGTAAAGGAAGGATGCGTTAAATGTCAACAAATAGAGCCACCTAGCGTCTTGCCTCCGGCACCAGCCTGGCCAGGAGTCCGACGGCATCTTCTCTGCCTTCCTGGGAATATTTCTTTGGCATTTCTTTGTGTCAGCGGAGAACTTTTCCCTGTGTTAAAAAATAATCATCATCACCATAATTTATAAATGTCAGTTTTCGAAGAGCACAACTGTTAATGCGACTTCCCCCTAAAAATGTTCTGGGATAAGGAGGGAAAAGTCTTTTCATTGTTAAGTGACTTGTTTTTAAAGGAAAAATGAATACATTTCTTTTTGCAATTTAAGAATATGGCTGTCTCTTCTACTTTTAAGGCTACAGATCCAGACTCTGGGCTTTGGGGAGAAGTCAAGTACTCTATCTATGGAACGGGAGCAGATCTGTAAGTAAAAAAGGAAAATTAAGTGATATACAACCAGACTTAAGGCACATGTGCAAGAGAAATGAGAGATGTTGGTCTAGTTGTGAAAAGCTCACTATAGGGGGAAAAAATTCCATGCTCTCTATCCTCCCTTTCTGTGTAGCTGTACAAATAGTTGAGTTCCAACTCCTGTCAAAATGAATCAAAGAAGTCAATACTTTCAAAGATGTAAACCTGAACTTTGAAGGCCAGCTGTATTGAATGTTCAAGGCATCTTATATATTTAAACCTTATAGCCCTACATCAGGGAACAATGGAATTTGATCCTTATTTGGTGGTGTAATTATCTCTAGTTCCCTTTCCCTGCCTTTGGGAAGTAGGGGTAAGAGCATCCCAATACACTGGTTTTGCCCACACTGTTCCCATCCCAGTGATTGCTCTGGTCTGTTGGCTGGGGCTCCTAGCCTTGTCTAGCATCACCAGTCTGTCACAGATATCATTGCTGGAAGTTGCATCTCCTGAACACAGAACGTGGAAAAGAACGAACTGCTGAGGCACTCATCCCCGCAATCCATTTTTCTCCAGGCTTTATCCCCTGGAGTTAGAGCTGAACTCCTCTTGTTAGGGTAAAAGCCATTTAGAAGACATTGTCAAAATCCAAAATCCAAGATGCTAAGGGTGAACCTCTTCTGTAGCCAGAGAGGTACACATATGGGAGCACTTCCAGGACGGATTATTTTGATCCACTCAGTAAGTCCTTAAGCTAGCTGCATAAAGGCAAGCAGGCCGAGGTCATGTCATAGAGGCAGACTTCTCTGGTTTAAAATGTAACAGCTGGTGCAACAAAGCTTGTTAAGGTTTCTGACAAAGGATTTAGAAAAAGGTGTAGGTAATACTTTCTTCTGATTGGAGTTGCAGGGATGTTCAGACTCTGTTCTTACACCATCAAATGAGCACATTAGGATATCAACACTTTGTCTGTTCTTAAATATATTTTGGGTGGGTTTTTTTGTTTTGTTGTTGTTGTTTGGTTTTTTTTTGTTTGTTTGTTTTGCTTGTGCCAGGCTGGCATGGCTCTCCAAGGCTGGACTGATTTCGAGTTTTGGACCTCCAGAATCACTGAATGCACAGATTTGAGATTTTCAATTAGGAACATGTTTTTTTTTGTTGTTTTTTGTTGTTGTTGTTGTTGTTGTTTGTTTTTTGTTGTTTTTTTTTTTACAGCAGCATAAATGCAGTTATGCTGGCAGAAAAGTGATTTTTTCTTGAGTAAGAGGAATGTTGATAGCCCTTGAAGACATAATCATTACATCAGTGCTATTCCCTCCAAACTGACTTTGGTAGTGGGGCACATTGCTGCAATATCTTCACTTCTCTGTGTTTCTTTCTTCCATTAAGATGGGGATGGTGAGAGTCTCTCTACAAGGTTTCATTGGGCTGGGCATTAAGAAGGCACTCAGCACAGGCACTGACTGCTACCAAGAGTATGCACAACTCTTTCCACCACTGGGTCTAGTGTTTGTATTTAACAGATAAGTGGAAAGAATTGATGAATCCCATTTATTAAGTACTTGTTTTATAATCACTCTCAATCATACTCACATCTGTAGTACAGAAAATGTTTTGTCATTCTTTACTTTAATTAAAGGGTATGTAAAACCTTCTATTTGTTAAAAACCCTGCTGTTTGGAGCCTACATTGGCAGTCCATTTACAAATGATAGTGTGTTAGTATCTTCTCTATAAATCCAAGCTTTTGCTTGTCACTTTTGACAGTGTATCAGTAATTACAATTGTATAGAATTGAACTTGCTACAGATAAATCTGAACACCCACTTCATCCCAGTGGCAGTCTGTGGAAAAGTGATTATTTTTGGAAGAAATAATTTGGCCTGCAGTTTTGGGACTTTGAGAACAGTTATTTTTCTTACCTATTCTAAGAAGAAAAGAGCTTAAAAATGATATGCAGCAAACTTCCATTAGCTATCAAGGATACATCAATCAATCTCAATTTATTTAGAACATGATCTAATACACTGCACTTCTTATAAACTGAAGGAATAGGCAATTCCTCAATGTTTTAATGCAAAGAAATGGGGGAAGGCCAACATGGTGAGCATTTATTCAGGACAAAGTCTATAACAGAAAATGCAGCTGAAATGATGTGAGCAGTGAATAGAAAAACACCAAACACTGGTTGTTTTGTGACTTCCAGACCTAAAGACAAGCAGAATGAATGATTCAGAAACATTACTCTGGCATGAGGCTGGTGAATTATATTAATCTTTGGGGCACAGCGTGCCCCAAGTTTTTCAGTGTTTAGAACCCACCTTAACCCTAGAAGACAAATGCATACTAAGCAACCAAATAGAAAACAAACAAACAAAAAAACCCCATAAGTCTCTCAATGCTTCTTTTCCAGGTTCCTAATCCACCCATCGACGGGTATAATCTACACCCAACCCTGGGCTGTATTAGATGCTGAAGTGAACTCAAAGTATAATTTCTACGTGAAAGCAGAGGACACAGATGGGAAATACAGCTTGGCTGAAGTGTTTATCACTGTGCTAGATGTCAATGACCACTCTCCAGAATTCAATGAAAACATCCAGGAAAAGACGATGATCATCGGGTCACCAGTGAAGATAGAGGTGAGAAAGAACATAGTGTGTCACAAAACAGAGTGCTTTGGAAAAGCCCCAGCTATGCAGTTTATTGCTCAGGGATCATCATGACTAATGCCTGAAGGTTGCCTTTTCCTGAGGCTTTACTCTTCACACCCATCTGTGTGTAACAAATGCATTACAGCATGGAAAAATAGTATTTACAGACTGCTGAAAAGGAGAAATAAAATTATACAGGTAAAAGATATAGTTCTATTACAGCATTTGAACTGTTAGCTGGTGGAGAATCTTGAATTATACAGTGATCATAAGAAACCCAACTTGCTTAACATTCCTGTGATGCCACTGTGCTCTTTCCCTTCGTTTTGCAGGACTGTACATAACGATCCAGTGCAGAACAGGGGTTAAAAATAGTTGCAGTAGCAGTTCACAGGCGAAGGAGCAGAACATCCTATGTTACACCTATTTGAACTTATACAGTCAAGCCTGAATGTGCAACACCTAGCATGAGTAGAATAAAACTACAGCACAAACCTTAAGGCATCTATAAAGTGCATGGAGCTAATCCAGTTGTTCTCTATTCACTTCAACTTTTGTCCACAACACTGTGTGAGATAGTCCCTAGCAATGGACCATGTGCATTCTACAGTTTTTCCTCTTTTTTCCTCTAATCTGAAATAGATGTCATTTACAGAATGCTACATTGCTAGCACTGATGTTTTTCTCAAGTAAATATAGCGCAGCTGATGTCAGGAAAGGATAATTTGTTTCCAAGGCCAAACTTAAACAGATCAGTAATTTTACTGCATGGATATTATCAGAATTTAATGCTCAGAAACTTCCAAAGTTTTGTCGTTGGGCAAAGACACAAGCACTGTCATCTTTTTCTCTTCACTTTCCTTACCAGGCTATAGATCAAGATGCAGAAGAACCAAACAACATTGTGGATTATTCCATCATGCAAGCAGATCCAGCCAATGTGTTTGATATAGACCAAAGCACGGGGGAAATCAAGCTGAAGTCCTATATCCGTTCCCTGGACATCATCCACAACATTACAAAGAACAAAGACTGCATATGGTCATTGGTGGTGCAGGCCAAAGACCGAGGCTCCCCATCCTTCAGTACCACAGCAGTTCTGAAGATTGATATCACGGAGGAGGTAAGAAAACATTTTAGAAAAATTCTTAGGTGGGATGACTCTTGAGAGGCACCAAAGTGTAGCTATTGCTTGTTTCATTTCCAAGACATCTTTAAAAACAGTTCAGGAATTGAAATTGTCAGGAAAAAATGTTGCCTGCCACTGCTTCTTTCTTTGGTAGCTCTGTAGCACAGAACATTCCACAGACACAAATGTAGAAGGTATTTTGGTCAGAAAAACTGCGAAGGTACAAAGGTAGGAGCATAACATGATTGGGAGCTAGAATAGAATAGTTTCAGTTGAAATGGACCACAAAGATCATTGAGTCCAACTGTCTGCCATAGAACTTTGAGACTGACCCAAGCATTAAAGCATTATCAGAATGCCTCCTAAACACACAGGAAGCCTGTTTCAGTGTCTAACTACCATCTTGGCAAAGAAGTTCTTCCTAATGTCCAATTTGAGCCTCCCCCAATGCAGCTCAGAGCCATTCACATGTATCCCACACCATTAGGTAGCTGGGAGGAAATAACTCCTCCCACTCCACTTTCTCTCCTCAGAAAAAAAGTTGCAGAGAGCATTACATTCACCTGTTAACCTCCCCTTCTTCAAGTTTAACAATCCAGTGTTGCCAATTCTTATTATATGACATGCCTTCCAGTCCTCCAATTATGAGTTTCTTGCATTTGATTGTTAGGGACAGGTGAAAATTAAGGACTATAGATTCCTGAGAGTAAAAATAAATGCTGACTGCCAAATCTCTGACCTTTTGTTCACGCTCAAAAAAGGAAAATATTTTTCTCTCACAAAAAGTGACTGAAAAGTGGCTGGGGACGGAGTGAGATATGTCAGAACATTTTTGCAAATCAAAATTAGTGGTGCAGGAATAGCGAGGAGACTTTATAGATTTTTGTTAAGTATATAGAAATTTGAATATGAGTTTTGTAATTTCAGTATTATTAGCAAAGGAGTTGACTCTACAAGATAGAACACATAGGTTGACTTTCTCATTAGTCCAACTTTATCATCTACCAAGGAGCAGGCAGCGATTTATGGTGAGCAGTGCATGCTTCTGCGGTTATTATTTATTGTTACTTGCCGTGTCTTTAAGTAGGCACCAGCAAAGAGGAAATGGGCTTTAATATGGATGAGATCCACATCATTAGCCACTGGACGAGGCACAGACTGGGTAAACATACAAATCTCTTCCTACACACACCACCTTCTCTTTTTTTTTTTGGCTCAAGATGCAACCAGGTGATTTTTTTCTGTTTTCTCTGCCTCCTTTTTTTCCACTGATACTCTTTATCAGGTGGATTTATATTACACTCCTTGATTATGCTTCAGAGCTTGCTGGAAGTTAAGTTTCAGCAGAGAGCACTTCTGCTCATCAACAAGGTAAACTCTGAGTACCAAATGCGCAGGAGGAGCTCCCCATCCCTGCTCTTGGCATCAACCCACCAGGGCTGCAGCCCCAGTGTCTGTAGGGGCTGAGGTACAGGGCTGAGGGGTGTTGACGGGAGTGAGAGAGACCTACACCTCCTCTGCTGGGGGGAGATGATATATATCTGAGCTGTTTCCAGCATCTACACTTGTGGATGAAGGATATCTGGAAGAAAAGAAGGAGTATCTAGCGCTTTGGGATTAACAGTTCCTTGGATTTCTTTCTAATGTGTGAAGCAACATAAACACCTGATGTAAAGAAGGTGTCTCCTACAACAGCCCGTCTCTGCTTCCTTTCAATCCAGGCATACATATCTGGCACAAAGTGAGGGATTTGGAGATCTGGAGTACTAATCTGATGTAACATCTGTCCTCTGAAACTTCTGTACATTTCTCCACTACTTCTTTCACTGCTTGTAGTGATTTGACAAAGCACTCACAAATTTCATCTTCCACTTGAGTGATGTATTACGGCAGTGTAGAAGGCTCCTGCTCACTCCCTGTGCCCCAGACACTTCACGATTACTGCTAGCACTTGGTGAAGGAAGCTTTAGGGACACCATGTATTCTCTCTCTCTCTGACTGTTATGAATGTCCATTTCCTCCTTCTGTGCACCAGTTGAAAAAGGGTTCTTTTAGTTAGCTGTCTGGAGGTCATTTAAGTATTACTGATTTTGGATAAGAAAGATATTTTTGAGTGTATTCTCTAAGGGATTTCTTGCAGTGTTAATCACACCAAGCAATTAAACAGGCATATTTTCTGGTTAACATTTACCACTGCAATTAACACAAGGCTGCGCCCTTCAAGATAGATGCCTTGTGGTTAAGTTCAGCAGTATTGCACATCAAATTTTGCTCTTGGAACAATACAGCGATGAAAAACTCCAGAAGTCTTTTAATTTAACTGAGTTTCATTTTAGGGAAATTGGTGTTGAATAGCATCTGTTAGCCTCCTATCCTTTTTCAACAGAGTAAGAAGCACATGCTGAAAAAGCTATGCTTTTTTCACCCTTACATCACAGTAAGAGATATTCCTGCTGCCCAAGATTTTCACTGGTAGTAGCTGATCCTAAGAATGGCCTGATGGTGGATCCCACTGCCTCCTTTTTGCAGCCCTGCAAGGATATGAGGGTGTTTATTTACAGCTCTCTGGGGACTGAAGCTTAAGTCCACATTTAGACAGCTTAATCTGTGATACCTTTGGTTCTTAATAGCCTTGGCCGCTGGTTTAGACTTCTAAACATAGCTGGTGAGTCTTAGTTTTAGATGCCCCTGATTGAAAGTTTCAACAAATACCGTCTTTGAATTAATTTCCTCCTCTCCCGTACTCCGTGACCATCCCTAAAACAAGGCTAGATTTAATCTGAGGAAGAACTCAAGGGATGCTGAAAAGGTGTGAGTGAACTCCTGAGAACCAGCTGGTTGGTTTTACATACCCACCTGCTCAAGTTGACACAACCAGCTTGGGCTCTTAACAGCTTTGCCCGCTTACTTAAGCTTCTAAATATAGCCAATAAGCTGCAGTGGCTCTCATGGCTGAAAGCTAAACCACATGCTCCTCCTCTTGGGTCCTGCTTCTGGATGTGCTGCCCACTCAATCTGCTCTCAGCAACCCACGCACTATGACAGGCTTTTGAGATGCTGCCAGGTGTGTGCACACTGTGATGTCCGCCTGCTGCAAACTGCTGTGGCAGAAAAGTGAAAACCAAAGGAAAAAAGTCACAAGTTCAGTAACAGAAAGAGGCATGGACATCCTGTTTGGTTAATTCAGGTTTTGAATTGTAATCTTGTCCCAGGAGCAGAATTCTGGTTTCTCAAAACTGATATACAGCTAATTCCAGACTCCTATCCCAGTACTGTACCTGCCCACTTGTTCCCAGCTCTTTTCTGGGCTGGTTCTCATTATAGCCATCTGATGGAATTCATGTACACTGTAGCCATCTAATACAGAATGGTGAAGCCCTGACAGTCATGGGCTGCTCTGCTTTTGTATTCTAGTTAAGCTCTGTTGCTGATTAAATAATGGAAACACTCTTTGCATAGCAAAGAGTGAATGAAAGTTTCTCCCTACCTTTAAAATAAGACTGCCCATGACTTTCAATAGCATTTCCTTGCCCATTTCTCTTTAGCAATCAGAAATATTTAGGATATGGGAACAGTGGTCTCAGAGGTAGTTTATGAAAATACAGAAGTGAAGCAAAGACACGTATCTTTCTTTATTTTCCATGTTCCGTACACATTTTACCCTACTTCCCTAGTTGTATTTATAATAGGTGCTCACCTCTTTCAAGCATAACTGCATTTGGGTTGACCGTTTCTCTTATTTTTGACGTTTCCAGATCAAGTCCAGGGTAAAAACCTATATTTTAGGCCTCAAGAAGCGTCCATGGACGATATTTGGAATTTGCATGAGTGGCGTCCTTTCCACCATTTCTGTAACAATGGTGATCTCTACCATCATGTACTGGAAAAGTGTGAAAAGATCCAAGCTCCACCCGCAGGGCAAAATCCGCAAAATTATACGGGGACCGCCAAGACGCACATTGTGCTAAGCTGCAAAGTGAACTGGTCATTCATTTGTCCTTAATATGCCATATGTAGCTTATGTTTTTGCTTATTTCTTTTAAAAACAAAGCTCTTTAGTACTACTCACGTCCCCTACCTCGAAGAGTTTTGTTGTGTCTGTAAAAGAGTACTTGAAAACGGAATGCAGCACATATCTGCTTATTACTCATTTATATACTGTAATTTCATAAAACAAAGTTTTCTCGTAATCTTTTTAATGCCATATTCAGTGATAGTCCTGTAAAGTGCATCACTGTATCACCTGTGGCTGCTCTTGAAAGACCATTTTCTAATAATAAACCTATATCTGGTTTAGCACTATTATTCCTAGGAAATTAATTCTGCAGTACAGTGCAACAATACTGCTGCAGTTCCCAGAGCCAATTATTGTCTTGCTCAGTTCTTGCAAGTTAAGCAAATGCTAAGTGATACACAGGAGCCTACCCTAATCTGGCACATACTCGTGTTTGGTGGCCATCCATTTCACAGTACTGCAGCATTTGCCCAGGCTTTAAATTACCCAAAGCTGGATTGGCTCTTTGGCTCTCCCTTTTCATTAGAGACAACTTCCAATAGTGATCCCTGCTCAATACATATTTTGGACAAATGAAATTTCTAGGTTACTGTCTGTCCCACAGAGTAAGTCATGTGTTTCCTTTGTACTCTTTTACAGACTCTTCACAAAGGGCCTATGGCCGCCTTTTTGATGCAAACTAAAGATAACCCCATGAAAGCCTTAGGAGTGCTAGCTGGTGTCATGGGCATAATGGTGCTGATAACTATCATGATCTCTACTGCCATGTTCTGGCGCAATAAGCGGTCCAACAAAATCATGCCGGTAAGAAGGATCATAAAAAAGAGACAGACCCAGCCGTCCCGCACGGTGAGGATGGAGTGGCTGAAGTTCAAGAGGCCTAGTAATGCTGCGGAGAAGTTTGTCGTTGAGGACGATGCCAAGAGCCTGCAGAACGAGAACAGCAACAACAACGTCCAGGCAGCCCCCGTGCCCCCAGCCGCTCCCTTGCCCCCGCCGCCCCCCAACCTGGCCGCCAGTGGGAACACCGCAGTGTGGCGGGTGCCAACTGTGTCTGGCTCCCTCACTCCCAAGTTCATCAACAAGCAGCTGAAGAAGAGAGGTCATAGCAGTGCACACAACGCCCTGGTGTCAGAGCTCAAAATGAAGTTTGAGAAGAGAAATGCAGCTATGGGTGAGCCACACATCTAGGCCACGTCTAGGTGCTCTTGGCAGCCCTGGAGACTGTGGGTTGCGGCTGCACATGGGTATGTTACATGCTGTGGTCTTCCCCGTCTGTCAATACCCGTGAACTGAGAGCAGCTTCTCACTGTGATAGCCATCCCTCACCTTCCAGAAATATTATGTGCTGTGGAGTTGCCCCACCTGTATCAAATGTTGTGATCTGTTCCCAGTTAGGACTGCAGTTCCTTCATCCCATATCCCAGAGCTTGTTCCACCCTGCAGCTGTCTAACCAGGGTGCTCCGTATGCTCTTGCACCAACCAGAGCCTCCCAAAGTGAGCAGGTCTTTGGGCTGCCCCTGTTCCAGAGACCATTAGTCAGCACTCTGCAGATGTCACTTCTGATCAGGTCTGGTAGGTGGAGCTGAGGCATTTAAAAACCCTTCACTTCAAAACCCATAACCAGTTCAGAAGGCATTGTTCTGGCTATGGCAGCAGGGGGCAGCGTGCAGGTCTCCTTCCGCACCAGCTCACAGAACGCTGAGAGCAAGTTGTGTGCAGGTGAGACCTGTCTTCAGGCATGATGTGCAGTGCAGCAGCTGGTGGAATAATGTGCTAATGGCGACAGCACCCTTCATCCTGAGTGCAGGCTTGGAAAAGTTCTTTGTTTTCCTGCAGATTATGCTGCGTTTTGCCAGAGCACATTGGCATGATCCCTCTGCCCCAAGATTGTCAGCTAACCTGAGGATGGGAGGACAGCTGGGGCAGGATACAAGCACAAGAATTCAGTAGTAGTGCTCACCTGATACAGCCTCCTTCTGATCACATACCCAAATGAGAGGCAAGCCGGCAGGAGAAGGATGTGATTAAGGCAGTGGGGAAAATAAGGTAAAACCAAAAGAAAAATTATATCGGAAAAATAGAAACAAAGTGCTGGAAAGTCATACGTATCAGTCAGGGAAAGATAATTTGGTTCTGTATAATGCTAGCAGGGGGCTTGGAGAACAGATTTCATCATCCCTACCAGCTTGCTCCAGGGACTGGAGAGTGTAACAGGAGGTTCCATAAAACATTCTGGTTTGTACTCCCAGCATTTTGCCAGAATAATGCAACAGATAACTGGAAAGACTTTTTTTTTTTCCAGTTATGTATATATATATGTATATACATATATATGTACATATATGTATATGAAGGGCACTGGAGGCAGAGCAGATTTTTACTGGGTCTACCCTAGTTTCTATGTCACGCTTGTCTCTGAGGAGATGTTTTAAGCTGGACCTGGGAAGAAGGCAGCATGCACTGGTCTGGCCGGGGAGAAGCACCCTGTGCCCACACTCCTGCCCCTTAAGGCAGCAGCGCCAGCTGCCTTAAGCTGGCTGTCGTGGATGGACACCATGAACATTGAGATGGGGAGCAAACCCTAAGTGACAGAACACTGTATTAATCCAAGGGGGCTGTGAGGCTTCTCAAACAACTGGTTTTTTGAGTCCTTTCAGCTGGACCAGCAGCCTGGCCCGTCTGGGGCTTCTCTTCCCTCACTCCATTAGTTGATCTACTCCTTTCATTTGCACCAGGACTTCATCACCTGAGGAGCTAGCATGTTGAACAAGAAATTACCCACTTACCAGAAACAATCCCATGTTTTTTAACTTCTGTTCACTCCAGTTCGTCATACCATGTTCTTGCCACCAGTGGACTGATCCAGGAGCAGCAGAGAGGAGCCATGGTGCCCAGTGCTGCTCAGCCAGTAGGCCCAAGCTTATGAGGAGAGTACAGGGCTGGGCTTCAGGTTGTTCCTCTGCATCAGGCTCTAGAAGCACTGGGACTGCTATGCAGCGGACCTAGCTCCCAGATTGTGCTGGGGAGGCACAGCTGCTCAGGCCCCATGTAGATCAGGGACTGAAAACTGCAGAACATTAAGGAACAGCAGTTTACCTGGTTTTGTGGGGGAGCACAAAATAATATACATTCACTCATGAACGCACTTCTCTGTATCAGTCCCTGGTCTTGGGGCTGCACGAGGAGCTGTGTGAGGAACCATGTGGCTGTAAATCTCTCTAAGGAGCGCTCTAAGGACACTTTAATCTGAGTGCAATGCCTGGAGCCAGACAAAGCCACAGACCCTCAGTGGAGAGATGGATGCTCAGCAGGGAGGAGCAGCCCTTGTGGGTATCACACTACCTTTCCCACTGTGCCCTTCATCACTCCTGTGTTATCTATCCAACTTTCCCTCAGGGCCCGCTGCCCATCCCTTCTCTTGGCTTCAGGTCCTTGCATCCTGCACTATGTCTACATCCTCTGGCCATGGCCATTTGAGAAAGGGGAGACGCAGCCCCATCACAATTGCTCAGCCCTGGTCCTACGGCCACAGCCCCACATGTGCTCCTTTCTCTGGCTTGTGTCTCCTCCTGGCTCTGCAACGCTTCATGGGGCACCAAAACCTTGTGATGTATCCTGTGTTCCACTTTTTTCCCAATGTTGTGTTGAAGCCAGTATTCAACGTTCATTCTCCATGAGGAAAGCCTATAACAACCACTCAATTAAGTGAGATATAATTAAGAGAGATATAGCAGGAATTATAGGCTTATAGTCTTAGAGATTATATTTAAGAAGGAATAAAGATGTTTTATTACAATGTTGTGAGACTTTTCCAGTTACTCTGTATTTCAACTTCAGAAAATTTTTTAATAAATAACAAAAAATATCTATATTGAAAACTTCTCACAGTATGTTTCTTCTCATGGCGTGTTTTCACTGACAGAGATGCCTTCTTGTTTGTATGCTGAATGACTGGGATGACTTCCCAGGCCAGCCCCCATGGCCCCTGCTGGGCAGTTTCTGTGGGACAGCAGTGCCCCTCCTTTGGGGCACATTGGTAGAGGGGCCTGGATCTGCTGCTGAGCCAGCACTGCCCTTCCCAGCAAAGCCAGGTCAGGAGGTCCAGCCCTGCCCCTCGCTGCTCAGCACTCTGGTTTCTTTGTGATTTGTAATGACAAAAGAGCAGAAATAAAGCAGAGAACACTGCACATTCTGAAAACCAGTCATGTTTATTACATTAACTCTAAGACAAGACTAAGAAGCCCCTTCAGGTATGACAACAAAAGTCAGCATTGACAGAGCAATTCTGTGTTTAGGAGCCATGCAGGTGGAGGTGCTGCAGAGGGAAATGGGGCCTGAGTTTGAACAGCACAGAACATACACAGGGAAGCCTAGCTTTGGTCACCCAAACACAACTAGAAGCCAAATTGCCACACGCTAAAGCTCACATTAGTTTTTTGTCCCTCCAACTATAGCCAACGTCTCTATTCTGATTTGGTTTTGGCTTTTTGGTTGTTTTTTTTGTTGTTGTTGTTGTTTTCATTTTTTTGTTTGGTTGGTTGGTTTTGTTTTGTTTATTTTTGTGACAAAGTCTACAATAACCTATAGAACAAGGGCTGTGGGTCTGCCAGCCACATAATTTGTTTGTGCTGGAAATCACAAGGTCAAAAAAAAGAAGATGAGTCATGTGTCCTCAGACCCTCTCAAAAAATGCAGCTGCTCTGCAAGCCTGAGCCAGTTGCTCCCACATGCGTATTTGGGTGTTCGGGTTTTTTTGCCTCCAGCAAGAAGGCAAGTGCGGGTTGTGAAGCAGCAGGAGAGACTGGTGGTGCATCCTTGTCTGGGGTGAGGGCCTGGCTGCTGCTCAGACACTCAACAGCAGCCAAAGCCCTACAGTCATGGCCATACCCATACAGTGTTGGCAGCCAATGTCCCAATGGCAAGGGTCACTCCAAGTATCCCCATCACCTTCCCACATCACCTCCAAAGCCACTGCCACAAGCCTTCCTGGGGAAGCTGAGAGAAGTGGTGGTAAGAATTGAAAGGGAAACAGTGGTTGAGTACTTGTCCACAAAAACCAAGATGTTCATTCACCAGCTCTTGTTCTTAGTATTAAAAAATAAATAAATTCACACAACACTTGTGTAACAAAAGGCATTAGATATGCAAGTTTTTGTTATGCAAAAGCGTGGCTATGCAGGAAACTAAACTGCTCGTCTAAGACACGTTTTAGACACAAGTAAATATTCCTTCCCTCTGTATTACATACAGCATTCCCATCAGAAAACAAGTAAAACCCTGCACTGCTATCACATTACGCTGGTTCACAGGAGTAAGAAAACAACAAAGGAGAATTCAAAACAAACAAAAAAGCACTCCAAACCACACCCTCACCTTCTTACTTTTCCACTTGGCAGCCAACAGAAGTCCACACCTGGCACAGGGAGGAGCTGAAACCAACCTCCATGCCTACCACCTCCTGGGTGGGAAAAATAAAGAAATAATAATAAAAATACTTAAAAAAAAAAAATAATAATAATAAAAAAAAAAGATGTTTATGTGAAAAAGAGCAGGCAGCTCTAGCCTGTCACTGCACGTGCTTCTACTGAGCTGTAGGGTCTGTGATTTTGTTAATGTTTGTTTCTTTGCATGCCAGATTGAAGCAGTCACACCATGGCTTTAAAACATTTCTTAAGAAGCGACTGCAAAATATTTTTGCTATGTTGTTTGTTAGGTTGATTGAGTGCATCTCAGTGCATGTGTGTGTGCCAATGCATGTTGCTCTGTGGCAGTGCTGGCAGCCTGGGGTGCTGGGGTGCACGCCCCACAGTCCTGGGGCACCGAGCTCTCTGGAGATCCTGGCCGTACACCCCACCATGCTCCATGTCTGTGCCACATGGGGAAAGCCAGCAAGATAGAGGCCATTCACCAGGCCGTGCAGCCACAGATATGTTTGGGGAGGGGGCTGTGCTAATAGAGGTCAGCGCTGTTCCTGTGGGGCAACCGGGCCTTGCCGGGGCGCTCAGGCTCCTCGCGTGCTGGGGGCCGCCGGGCACCGCGGCCACCATCAGGACGGCAGAGTCCATCCTGACTGCCGCCAGGCAGGCTGTCCAGTGTGCTCTCCTTGCTGCCAGCACCTGGCTGCTTGTCCCCACGGCGGCGGCGGGGCCAGGCAGCAGGACAGCGGGCCAGGCAGCCGGGACGGGCC